CCAGGGGCCTGGAGGAGCTGGGGACACACGAGGTGCCTCATGGCTTCCGTAGTGATCTCTGAGGAGGAGAAAGGTTCATCCTGGACTGCCAGGTCCTGGATGCTTGGAGAAGAAAAGAGAAGACATCCATTCACTTTTCCAACATGGGTTAGAAGCCTGCTGTTCTTCAAGCACGGGACTAGGAAGGCGAGGTTGTGAACGCAACTACATCTGGTGTCTGTTGGGCCTCACAACACTGAATGGAAACCCTTGAAATTGAATTTTTTTTTTAAATTGAATTTAACTGAAACGGAATTTGAAAATGAAAGCGAGGGATTGGCTTTGCCTGCCTGGCACATGCCATCCTTTGGTAAGTTTCCACCTTCCTTCAGAGAACAGCCCATCACAGCCACATGGCTCTGGTGGGTTGGGCGAACCACCAACGCCTGGCCAGTCGTGGTCCTCTTTCTCCCCTTTTAATCAGTGATTGGTTAGAAGAATGGACACATGAGCCAATCAGGTCCCCACTCTGGAACTTACACTTGGTTGCTAGGAGAGAGGACCTCTCCTTTTTATTTTTTATCTGTTCTACCTAAACAAGTTGGGTTAAACCTGAACCCATTGGGAGTCGCTCAGGGGCCTCAGTCTTTCCTAGACATGTACCTTAGATGATAACCTCATATAGACATAATGGACACACACAGGGAGGGACACCGCAAGAGAGACGTGGGAGACGCCTGATCACATCGTTAGTGTTCAAGGCTTAGCTGCTGTCAACCCTCCATTTCTTGCCTAGGTAAGAAAATGCCTTTTCTTCCCCTACAGTGCTGAGATAAGAGTCCGAAGGCTCACACATGCTAAGCAAGCGCTCTACTACCGAGGCACACCACCATCCCACAAAATGCCATTTTGGTTAAAGTTGGGATCTTGTTTTCTCTCAGTTGAAAAAAAAAAAAAACATAATAAAGCACATATGGCTGCTGGCTGTCCTAGCACTCGCTCTGTAGACCAGGCTGGTCTTGAACTCACAGAGACCCGTCTGCCTCTGCCTCCCGAGTGCTGAGATTAAAGGTGTGTGCCACCACTGCCTGGCTCATGCTTCTTTTTCTTAATAATTTATTCTTTTATGTACACTAGTGTTTTGCTTGCATATATGTCTGTGTGAGGGTGTCAGATCTTGGAGTTACAGAAGGTTGTGAGCTGCCATGTGGGTGCTGGGAATTGAACCTGGGTCCTCTGAGGAGCAGTCACTGCTCTTAACATCTAAGCCATCTCTCCAGCCCTCATTCTTCCTTCTTTCTTTCTTTCTTTCTTTTTTTTTTTTGGGGGGGGGGGTTGAGACAGGGTTTCTCTGTGGTTTTGGAGGATGTCCTGGAACTAGCTCTTGTAGACCAGGCTGGTCTCGAACTCACAGAGATCCTTCCTGTCTCTGCCTCCCGAGTGCTGAGGTTAAAGTTGTGCACCACCAATGCCCGGCCTCATTCTTCCTTCTTAAAAGGGTTTCTCAGACCAGTGAGATGGCTCAGTGGGTAAAGGCATTTGAACTTGAGTTTGAGTCTTGGTATCCATGTAAAAGAAAAGATCTCTCTCTCTCTCTCTCTCTCTCTCTCTCTCTCTCTCTCT